CCGGTGGCGCACTGCTACAGTGCGCCGCTTGGGAGCGCGGAGGCGCTCCCGCCGAGGGTTCGGATCCCACATCCAGACCGGTTCCCGCTCACTGGCTGAGCGAGGGGCGGGCGCAGCACCGAGGGTTGCGATCCCGTTGCCGGTCCCAGTTCGATACGGGCGCGACACTGAGGGTTGCGGTCCGTTGCCGGACATGAAAAAAGACAAAAAGGAAAAAAAAAAAAAAGAATTTAATCCATTTGGATTTAAAGATTGTCTTTTGCTGAAATGTAAATCTCCACCTCTTCCTGGCATAGTCAGTCTGTCACACTTGAGTATGAATTAACTGATCGGAGGAAACAGGACAAGGAACAGATAATTTCTGGGACAGAGCAGAAAATAAGCCAGGCAAGGCCCTCAGCTGACAGAGGAAGCCATGGGCCCTGAGGGGCAAATGACACAGGAGTGGGGGACAAGCAAATGGCTCACTGCCTGCCCGCCCTCCTGGCTTGTTGGGAGCTTGTGGTTCTGCCAGACTGGGAGACCAGCCCAGGATTCCCCATCCACCAGGTTGCCCCTACTCCAAGCCTCAGCTCTAAGCTAGGGTTTGCTGGACTCTAAAGATGGCCCTGCATGGACAGCAGAGGCAGGTAAAGATTGTCGAATTAGTCATGTTTGAATTTGGAAACTGACTTCGGAGTGGCGCAATTGCAGTTTCTAACCCAGTTCCTTCAGTGTTCACTCCCCTCATCTTCAGAAGCCATCTCCTTTTTCTCTCCTTTCTTTTTTTCTCTCTCTTTTGAGGGTATTTTTGTGCCCTTCCGGTTTTGGGTCACGTGGATTCCAGAGGGAGGCTTACCACCCTCTGGATACCATGCTGCTTTCCTCGGGGGGTTGTGGGGCACTGAGTACTATCTGGTACACTGCTTAGTCGATGAGGAATCTAAAGCCCAGGCAAACTGCCTGGTCGAGGCCCCCTGTGATGGCCTGTCTGTGAGAAGGATGTCACCTTTCTGCCCCTAGAGCCCAGTGTGTTTAAAGAATGCTTTCCTACCAACACCCATTACAAACAACTAATTATTATTTACTAAATAATTAGCTCACTTCCCTGTTTTTTATGATCAAAGACAGACCTCCCATGGGCAGGAGAGATCTGCTCTCTCCCTGAGACAGAGGGATGCCAGCCTGGAGCAAGTCTCTCTGGGCAGGATTTTTCCCACTACAATATCAGAAGCACATCTTGTACGAGCTTTTGGAAAGAAGGTGTGTTTGGTAGCTTGGGAAACACAAAGCTCCGGGGCTGGCTTTATGCAAGGCTGGACCCAGTGCTTAGACAATGGCATCGGGAAGGTGTCTCCTTCCAGCTCTCAGCACGGCTTTCCTCTGCACCAGATGGGTCTCTCCACAACACAGCCTTGGTGAGGACAGCCTGGGAGACTTTCAGGCCAACAACTGCAACTGGAGAGGAAAACCTCTTTCCCAGGGTTCCAGCCAAAGTCCCAGGATTGCTGCTCGCTGGCTGGGCAGGGGATGTGCACCACTTCAGACCCCTTGTGGTGATTCTGACTAGCCATGCCTGGGATGCACACGTATCTTGGAGCCAAGGGGTGGGGTCAGCTCTGCTGAGCCCACTGGAGTGAGGAAGAAGGAGCTTTCCAGAGAAAGTGCATCTCTTGAGCTGGTGCCCGGGATGTCAGGCTCAGGAGAAGAGAGAGGAAGTGGCCCTGAGAGCGGAGGGAGTTGGGGAAATGGTCAGAAGGAAACCAGCACCAACTCGGCCTCTCATTAGCTATGCAACATTGAGCAGGTCACAACCTCTCTGTGCCTATTTCCTCATCTGCAAAGTGGGAATAATAGCACCTGCCATGTTTGAGGACCAGATGAGTTTAGCTAAGAAAAGGATTCAGAACGGTGCCTGGAATATAGTAAATGTTCTTGTTGTTACGGTCTGAGTATATTCCACATGCCAGGCACCAGGGTGGTCATTCCTGGGCAGGTGCCCCTTAGCCTCGGCCCTGCCACTTCTTTGATCCTCCTACTGGGGAGGCTGGGGCAATCCCTGTCCCCCAGGCCTCAGTTTCCCCTCCAAGCACACATTCTGCCTGACCTGGGCAATTGGGCATTGGGACTTCAAGCTCCATGGCCCACTCTTCCCCCACATTCCTGACTCAGCACAGGCTTAATGCAGGCAGGGGTTGCATCTCCCAGCTCCCTGCATCCAGCACACTGGAGGACATAGAGTGGGCACTCCATAAGGGCTTTGTGTTGAGATCAAGAGAGCTGAGGTGTGGTTCTGAGGCTCATGGAATCCTTCCCACATACCCCACTTTGCTCTCCATTTTGGGGGCACCCATGCCTGTTACCATGCACAGAGGTGATGGAGGCCTGGGCCCTGTCCCCCAGAAAGGCACAGTCCTGCAGGAGGGGCCAGCTCACACCTGCCGTGCCTCTGGTGCCAGAACACAGTAGGTGCTCAAGGCAAACCCAATGAGTGGGAAGAGCCTAGGCTTTGGAGCCAGACTTGGCTTCACATCCTGGCTCCCCACTGACTGCTAAGTGGTAGGAGCTGCCCAGCCTCCCAACCCCAGTTCTCATGTCTGCAGAATGGAGAGCAAAAGCACCCCTTGGGGTGGCTGCAAGGACATAGGGTGCTCATCCTGGGCTTGGCGCCCAGAAGGAGCTCCAAAAATGTTGGTGGAAAGGTTCTTCACATTCCCCAAGCCCAGCCAGGAGTGCTGGGATGGGATGGGAGAACAGGGAGGTAGTGGCCAGACAGCCAAATGGCTCCCCACATCCCAGGACTCCAGATGCCTTGCCTGAGAGGCCCTGGCCATCCCTTGTCACAGTCCTGGCTCCCCAATAATTTGGCTTTTTGCAGAAAGATGGGCGTCGGCTTGCCTGCTGGGCACCTCAGAGCCAGCACCAGGGCAGCCAGGTGGCTGGATAGGTGTGGCCAGCACCAGCCCCCAAGGGACCCAGTCGGGAGGCCCTACTGGCCCTGGGCCCTGCTCTCGCGGGCTGCCCCTCAGCTTGGTTGCCACCCTGCCTCCTGCACCGGGAGGGCTGAAACCATCCATGTGCACCCAGGATAGCACCCTGGGCCCAGGCATGGCCACGTTCCTCAGCCGCTTATCGGTAGTGGTTTGTCTGCCTCCCAGCAGCCCAGGGCCCACATCTGTGTGGCTCCCACTGCAGCCTGGCACCCCCACAGTGCCTGGCACATAGTAGGTGCTCAGCAGATGCCCAGCAGGCAGCAGCCGGCCTGTGCCTCATCCCAGCACCTCCAATTCAAGGAGAAAGGCCCCTTGGCATGTTTGTTTGCTGTAGAACATAGCTCAATAGTCTTGGTGTCTTTTTTCTCTCCTCCTCCATCCCCGCACGGGAGCTCTGGGGAGTGACAGTTTCCAGAGATTGAAGGCAAAATTGTTTGAAAGCCTATGCTTTTATCCTCCAATTTGTAGCCATTTAGCAGGGCCTGGTGGAGGGGCAGCCAGGGCTCTGGCTGTGCTGTTGGTGTAGAAGCGCCCGTTGCTGTGGAGAACAGATTCTTTGTCCTTTTCCAGACAGCTCTGGGCCTCAGGGACAGATGCCCACCGAGGGGCCAGGCCGGGCTGTGCAGTGCTGGCCTGCAAGGGAGGATGCTGGGGGAGCCACGGGACCTCCCAGAGACAGGGCAGGGGTTGCTGAGCTGAAGGTGGCTTCTGCCATTACTGCCTCCAGCTCTGCTCAGGACAGGGCCCAGCCCCGAGTGGAAGGGCACACAGGCTGGGACAAGAATCATGAAGAAGGCCTAAGCATCCCCAGGCTTGCCTCTCTCTCTGGTCACTAAGGAGGGGCCTATATGCTTCTGCCTGAGAAGAGGGTCCTGCCTTAACCAGAGGGGCCCTTGGGCTACCGGGAGGCAGAATCAGAAGTCTGGAAGACTGAGAGAGCTGGAGGGGGCAGGGTCGAGCTTAGGACTCTGGGGGAGCTTTCTGGGAAGTTTGGAATGTAAAAGTGCAAGTGTGGCTTTGGGGAGTGAGAGAGGGTCACGATCCCCTTTTGCAGTGCTGGGACAGGAGTCTCTGCAAAGGGAGCCTTTGTGCACCTCCTGCTGGAGCTGGACCTCTTGAAGCCTGGCCGTGAGAACAGCCACACCGTGGGGGAAGTCAAGACAGGAGCAGGAGTGCTGCAAAGCAAGGACAGCCGCTCGCTTGCTCGAGGACTGAGGACCGGGAGAGCAGGCTGGGGAGAGAGGGCCCTCGAAGCTGGAGGCGGGGCTTCTAGGAGGAGCTGGCACCTGCCCACCAAGTTTGCATCTCACTAAAGCTGGGCTCCTCTGGTTTTCCACAAGGCCTCTGAGCACTGCAGGCTCACAAGACTCGGCGCAGCTCTGTCCATCCTCTCTTCCCTGTCCGCATCCCGCCTCCTTGGCCCCACCCCCAGGACTTTGCCCAGATGGCTCTTCTACCAAAAACACCCTCCCCTCCCCATACTCATCCCCTCCCAGCATGACTCCAGCTCAGCTCCCGCCCCCAGGCGCTGGGAGCCCCCTCTGGTTGTATGGCTCCTGTGCTGCCCCTTCCCCGGGCACTTCTCCCCCCATACACATGGGGCATGGCCGAGATCCTCCCTGGGCCCTGAGTCTTGATGGGCTGCAGCCCTGCCCCCCAGGCAGAAGATCATGGCTGTGAGGTGTCGTGGCTCCTGGCCAAGAAGGATGAACCCCCTGACCTGGGGAAGGAAGGCTGGATCAGGGTAGGGGCCATGGGACTGCATGCTCATGGCCCATTCCCAGCACCATGCCACCCTCCTGGACAGGTGTGCAGGGCATGTCTCCTCCCTGCAGCACCTTGAGGAGTGTGGGGGTCTAGTGGTGGGGACACTGCTGGGGCCCTGGTCCCTTATTAAGATTAAACCCTGCTGTGGCAGGCAGTCTTTTCTCCTTACTGCAGTCCCTGTGCCGCATGCCTGTCACTTGGTGGACTCTTGTCTCCCTGGGGGTCCTCTGATCCCTCCACAAAATCCCCAGGAATCAGCACCATTAAAAAAATACACTTTATTGTGACCTCACGGTTTGCAGGGGCAGCAAAGCAGGCACGCAGGCAGGTGGGCATGCAGAGCATCTGATGGGTGCACAGGACGTGGTGAAGCGGCCCCTCCCTGGGTGCTGGTTTCCTTCTGATGGCACCTGCAACCTCAGGACCCTCAGGGCATGCCAGGTCCCCTCCTGTCCAACAACCCCCAAGAAATTCTGGTTGAGCAGACAGAGCGGGAGGGGCAGGCTCTGGCCTGGCAGAGCAGGTGTTGTGGCTCCAGCCACTTACAGAACCCCCATCAGCCCAATGTCCCAAGCCCAGGGGCGGGGCAAGCAGAAGCAGCTGGCGAGCTCAGCCGGAAGCCGCAGCACAGGAGGAGGGCGTGGGAGCCCACACCTGCCAATCCAGCCCTGAGCTCCTTGGCAATCTTGTCTCTCTTGATTAAACATCCAAGGAACATCAAGTTCACAGACATGTTTTCTTCATTTTCCTGAAAATACCCCGAGTGGAAAAGCAGAGGACAGCTTTGAGGTTCCTAGGGCCACTTGACACTTTTGGGGGCAGAGAGAGTTGGAGGGAAGAGGGATAAAGGAGCTGGGCCTGGGCTTAAGCAAGAGACAGACAGCAACAGAGGCAGTGTCCCAGGCTTGTCCAGGGAGAGGGGAGGAGTGCAGGTGTGTGCAGGTGTGTGCAGGTGTGTCACATGCAGGAGCAGACTGCTGGTTGGAGGCCTGGTGCACACACCAAGTGTTTGCTTTAGGAAGAACGTCAACCAATACTTGTGTGAGGAGCAGATACCACCAGCCATCACACTGCCCGTGGAGGGTGGACAGCATGGCTGGGTGGAGCCAGGATGTGGGTGGCAGGACCAGCCACCCACACTCCAGTTCCACCAGCTAGTACTCCAGCTGCCTTCCCGCAGGGCAGATGGTCTAAGAGAGGTTGCCGTGGCATCTAGGGTGGGCCACAGAGGGCGTGGCTCACACCTGGGGGGCGAGCCAGGTGAGGGCAGCTTGGCCAGCTGCCCAGGAAACTGGGACTGGGATGGGTGGCAGTGGGAGGTCCCGGGGAGGCCGGCTCACTTCCAGCACTGCTCCAGGGAGTTATGGGGCTGGATCTTGAGCTTCTGGGGGCAGAGCAGCTTGGTGAAGGCTCGGCGGAAGCTGTAGTGGCACAGCGGGTAGAGGACAGGGTTGACGGCTGAGTTGGCCCAAAGAAGCCAGAAGGACGTCTCATACCAGTAGTCAGGGATGCAGTGCCCATGGCAGGCGGCCCGTATGATCATCAGGAGTGTGTAGGGGGCCCAGCAGAGCCCAAAGATGCTCACGATGACGGCCAGCGACTTGGCCACCTTCTTGTCCCGCGACAGCCGGAAGCGCTGGGTGAAGCTCTGGGACACCATCTTCATGCGCTTCTCCAGGGATGCTGAGGACGCTGACGGCTTGGAGCCCCGCTGGAGCGAGCGCGGCCCCTCGGCGCCCCTTGAGGAGCTGCCGGAGCTGGAGGTGGGTGAGGCCGGGGCATCTCTGCCCCTGCCACCCGCGAGGGACGCCTCCCCGGCATCGGCGCCCGGGGCCACCTGGCCCACTCCATACCTGTGCAGCGGCAGGGATTCCCCGCGCGCCCTCTGCCAGCAACCCCAGCAGCCGGAGGACGGCAGGGGCGGCGGGTCAGCGGCCTCGGGCGGGGCCTCGGGCAGGGGCTCCGGGTCAGCGGCCTCGCGGGCCCCATCCCGCCGCAGGCGCGTGCGCCTCTGGATGTTCAGATAGATGCTGAGGTTGAAGAAGGTGACACTGAGGAAGGGTGTGAAGAACTCGAGCGTGGAGGCCGTGATGAGGAAGTACCAGTTGTAGAAGAACTCGGCATAGCAGTGGCCCTCGGGGATGGAGCTGCCACCTGACAGGTGCTCCCAGCTGAGGATGGCCGGCCCGTACAGCAGGAAGGCCAGCACCCACACCAGCACCATCTTCCGCACCGCCCGCCGCGTGTCACCCTGCTGCGCCCGGTACGACACCTGTAGGGACGTGTTGGCTCAGGAGGGTGGGGGAGCTGCCTCTGGGCCTGCCCTTCTCCCCTTCCCCTCCGCCCACCCCCCCAGTCCTGCCCCTGCTGTGCCCCCTGGCTAGGTGGTGCCCTAGAGCCTCGGAATGTCCCCTAGATCAAGAATCCTAAATTTGTGCTGGACTGCCTGTTTGCCCCAGCTGTGAGCTCCCCAGGTGCCCTGTCATCTGTCCCTACATCCTCGGCACCAAACTCAGCATTGGCCACAAACAATGATTTCTCACATGATGTGTCTTGCTGAGGTCTGAGCCATCGTCCGAGGTTCATTGTGCTCACGGGGGCACTCCAGCCCTGCCCTTGTGCAGGCGCTTGCTGTCCTGTGAGCCAGAGGTGGAGGAACGAGGCCACATGCTGGCCCATTGCTGGGAGACTCCCACCCACCCACACGCAGTAACAAAGCGCTCTTGGTCCACATCAGAAGGTGAGAAGGTAAAGGAGCGACTTCTGCGGCAGCTCCCCATGCCTGTGTTCCCTGACACAGGATACCCAGGCAGGTCCAGGGTCCCCACTCATGGTGGCCACACACACAGAGGAAACCTCGTGGGTTTGAGAACAGCGGCCTGTCTTCCTGGGGCCCTGTATCTGCATGTGTGCACACTCTTGAACCCATGTGTGTGAGGGATACTGCCGGAGCCTTGGACCTCAGATTCTTTCAACCCCAGGGAATTTGGACCTGCCCGGGGTGAAGTCCAAAGTGACACCCCTTCCTCGGGAACATCTGATGCAAGTCCAGACTTTCTGCCTGTGTCTGTGCCAGGACCAGCCTTGCCAGCAGCTAATGGCCACTGAGTGGGCAGTTGGCCATAGAGTGCCTGTGTGTCAGGTGAGAGGCCAGCAGGGACAAAGGCCACCAGGCACCTGCCCCTGGTTCAGAAGTGGCCATCCCCTCCCTGGTGCCCCCCATGGCTATCTCTGATTCCCCCACCCTGGGAGGGTACCTCGGCACCCACACCCCGGGACTCACAGCTCGGGTGACCGACAGGAAGCGGTCGTAGCTGATGAGCACGATATTGAACACGGACGAGGTGCACAGTAGGTAGTCGACTACCAGCCACAGCTTGCAGAGGCCCCGGCCAAAGGTCCAGCGGCCGGTCAGCACATAGGGCACGTACAGAGGGATGCAGAAGGCACCTGTGTGAGAGGAAGGCCATGATGGGACCAGCTGGCCAGGGGTCAGGAGTCAGAACAACCACACTGGAGAGAGGCAGGACAAGGGAGGTCACATGGTGGCCACCTTCTGGGATCAGCATCATACTTGCCTCTCCACTTGCCCTGCTGCTGGCCTTCAACCCCCATGCCCCAGCCCCACTGGGACAGGAGGGAAGATCCAGTCATGGGGACCGCTGGGTACGACATGACCTGGAACCTGGAGTCAGGACTCCCTAGACTTCTGTCCGGCTTTCCGGACAGAAGCCCCCAAAAGGAGGAAGGGAGATAATTTCCTTCCTCTCCCCACAACCCCAGGCTGGACTCCAGACCCTGCCCTGGTGTTTGGATAGCTCTGCCTCCCTCATCGGCTTAGAAACCGAAAAAGCCTTGCTCCTGGTTAAAGGGCACTTGGAAGCAGCCACGCCAGCCGCTCCCACCGCCAAGCCCCCGCTTTGAGCGTCTGGAAGACGCACCTCGCAGCCCCAACAGGTGTCTGGCGCTCCAGCACGCCACGCGCCCCGCCCCCCAGCCGGCAGCAGAGCACGGACACGTGAGAGCGCGCTCCTCCAAGCTGCTCCCCCAGTCTTCGCCTTCCCCACAGCCCCCTCCCCCAGCACAGCTCTAAAAATCCCCCTTCCACGTCCCCTCCCCCAGACCTTCCCCGGCGCCCTCTGCGCGCGTCCTGAGTCCACCGCAGCCTTTGTTTGGCTACGGCGCAGGAGCTCGCGCTGCACCCGCGGTCGCTGCGCCTTGCGCCTCGCAGAGCGCCAGCCCTCTGGGCCCCTTCCCCGGGATGATCCCTCCCCAGCCCCTGTCCGGCGACCCGTGAGGCAGGGAACTTCGCCCGCGCCCACTGCCCCACCGGTCCCAGACGCCCCCTCCCCAGGCCCGGCCCCTGGCTGAGCGTGTGCCTGCGGGAGCCACCCCAGGTCCCTGCTCCAGTCCCCGAGGCCCGGTCGGGCTGGGCGCCCCTGGGCTCCAGCGGCGGGCGGGGGCTGGGGGCTTTACCCACGAGGAAGTCGGAGATGGCGAGATTGAGCAGAAAGAAGTTGTTCTGGGTGCGGAGGCTCGAGTCGGCCACGAAGGCGAGCATGACCAGCGCGTTGCCCAGCACCGTGGCCACGATGAGCAGCGCCATGAGCG